AAAGTTGTTGTGCGTGGATTTCCGCTCAAATTTTCGGATTTCAAGACACTGGTGCACATGACTCCCTGGAAGACGTAATGAATCAGACAAATGTCGGCCAAACCTTCAGTTGAAATGATGTTTTGTAGGCAGCAGAAGACGTCGAACGAACTAAACAACGTTGTCCTAATTCTGAATCACCGAATCACTTTTTAGAGTTGCGGCAAAACTGTGTTCCCTCTCCGCGTCTAGTTCATATCATACATGATGGTGTTTACTCCATGGAAAGGCGATAATTGGACGATAGGAGAAAGTGCTTCCAAACAAAAATTACGTGACCGAACTGTTTGAAAATCCGCGAGATTCTTCGGTCAAAGCCAAAGAATAACTGTCCGGGTTTAAAGTGCACCGGAAATCATTACAAATCCAACGCAACAGTCAGCCGAGGTTCAAATCGCGCTTTACAGCAGGACTCAAAACACTAACTCTGCTACTATTTTCTACGATCTCATTTCCTGTTCAAGGTGCTCGGACTTATAGAAGAGTCAAGTGCGTCATTCAGAAAAAAACGCAACAAAAAACTATGAGGGGGCTCCTAATCACTGATTGAGCGAACGCCTAACACTGCACGAAAGCCGAAGCTTCACCTGTTCAAAAGCATGTCATCCATGTGCACCATACAAGCTAAGATGAAAGGACGAGGGGACAGTCAGCCAGAAATAGATGAGAAGGTAACCGGCTACAAAGGCTCTGACCACAATGTCACCACGGATTTAGGCGTGCAAGAGAGTGGCTGAGCCTTATGATGTATGTGGTTATAGCGCCTTAATAACCTCGGCACGTGAGAGGTCTAGTTAAGGCGACGACAAATGCCGCTCACCGTACTGAATCCATTGTGTATCCACATAAATGCGCAGGCATACTTCCCTGCAAGCCAGAGCAAAAAATGAGGGACAGCTAATTCTTGCGATCAGTCAGAGGGCTGACTTGAAATTTCTTCAAAGCTGACAGCCAGATTTGATTATGGATCACATATTTGGCTGTTGATGGTGACAGAAGCAACAAACCAGAATAATATCATGCAGTAGTAACCAAACATAAACAGATTTCCAAAGCTGCCAATGTCCTATCACATCAGTCTGAAGCTGCTAGGATTGCAAAAGTTACCAATATTCATGGACAATTAGCAGATGACCCACACTTAGCAATGACTCGTGATGGACTCCAGCGAGAGAGAAAAAAAACATTGTGCCTTATCGACAGATTTGGAATGAGTCACAAGTAGGGCACGCTGGCTCCGTCAACTGGGCTTTAAATGTGGAAAACCCTATAATATCCGGCATTTTGTTTCAGAAATAAGGCCGTTTGCACCTCTCAGACCGCCCTCCCCTCTCCAGTTCGGGTGAGATGGGCGGTACTGAGCCAGCGGCGCGCTTGGCGGTGCGGTTCTGTGACCCACCGCGAGCAGCGGGGCTTCGATAGAGCGCCTGTGGCCGCTGCGCTCCAAATCGCCTCCAGATCGACCCGACGAACAAAGCGTCAGGTTGACTTAGGGGAGGTATAGTATTGCGAAGCTCAGCCGACATTATCAGCTGATTGTGCTTTGGTTACGGGTGAGCTTGGTTAGTTCTGTCATCAGAGGTGGGCGGTTTTGTCTGGTATGAATGATAGGCTTTCTCGTCATCAGACGTCGTGCAATGCGACTGTCGCAGCACGTGGTAAGTCTTCACATTCATGCGCATTCCGACTGTAATTAAGCGAACACTTTCAGAACTTATCAGCCTCTTCTTGCGCGACTCGGATCACAATTATCACGATAAGAGATGGGAATATGCATGGCTTACTTGCGTTGATGTTTTGCTCTTGATTCGGCGAAGGAGGATTGATTAATAGTTTAGTCCATCCTCAGAGGGATAAGTACGCTTAGAGATGGGGCTTGATTACAACGCCTACGGTTGTTGTCAGAGTAAGATCTACTGGCAATGTCAATCAACTTCATCGGTTATTACTAAGATGCATAACAAGTTATTTCATTAAAGTTACTCGATAAAAAGCAGCCTGGTCTTTGAACCCAAATGTGTATTACGCCAAACATCAGTAATAATAGTTCAGTACAAAGGCGCATCAAATGCTCTTTGGATTTGGATGAAATGCAAAACATCTCATGTGGTTTGAAACCAAAAGCAAATAAGCTGCTTTGGAAACGGAAGGATCAATGTCAACATTAAGATACCCAGCCCATTCATCACTTTCAGTCTTATAAAACGTAAACTACGGCCACATTGCCTCGAACGCAAAGCCAGCAAAGCCTGCAGTGACACAGTTTTACTCAGCATGACACGCCGGAAATTGGGAGGATATCGATCATTCACAGCAGCATAAGGCGGCCGCTAGACCAAACGAGGCCAGGGTCATCCCATGAAAAATGTTAAAATGATGCCCTTTTAGTATTTTCGCATGGCTTGCAATTCCAGTGATTTTGCATCCATGATGTACGAAAGAAAACAGAGAGTTTCATCAGTTTTTACTCTGAACTATATCAGTTCTTACTACTGCTATAATTTCTTAGGATGGGCCTAAGGTTATATTTACAGACAGCTATAGCCTTCAGCTTCATATCCAGACGTAAACTTAGGCGGTAGTGCAAGCCCTACTCCTCCTAGACTAACCAGGAAAATAGACATATAGATGCGTTGATATTTCGGCAACATGCCTTTATAGAAACGAATAGTAGAAACAAATTCAAAATTGCCTACAGATGATCATACTCGATTTCCAGGGTATGTTTCTTAAACAGCGAGCCGCAGTTTTTACAGGTCACCACCACTCAGGGGATTGAACAAGGAGCAATTGTCAGTCATTATTACGATACAGTTGATACCTTGCCAAGAATAAGAATGCGCGGAAAATGCGTATACAAGAGAATGAATTCAAGTAAACAGGCATCACGCATTACGGTTCATCCAAACATGCAAGCGAGTTTAAGTAATAGGCTTCCGACATCTCGCATGAATTATACTTGCAAACGATTTCAACCGAACAGGCATCACGTCGGGCATCACTTGTAGGTGTAAACGATTAAGCCAGCACGCATCACACATCTAGGCACATATCACGTTCGCATAGCCAGCCATGATGAGCCCTATGCGTTGTTTGATCGCGGACTTTATGTAGACACAGATTCACTTAATTCCCTGCCCGGACCCCTTGATCTTGAAAACCTCCCGCAGCCCAGGCTTGCATAAATTACATCTGATGCCACCCGGGCACTTGAGCTTCGAAAAATTCGATATCATCAGAGACTTTTTAGCCTATTGTCATTCTTCTAAGCTATGCGTATGTGCAGTTTTGATTTGCTAACGATATGTTTGTCTGCACGCAAGAAAGTGGTTTGCACGCGTGACAGTGTGGTGCGTGAAATTAGGTTAAACTGTATGAAAAACATGGAAGAGACATGGTCTTCGTCGGGGAGTCCGTGCACCCTATTCGTTTGAGATACAATGAACAACTACAAGACGCTAAAAACGAAACAGGGAATGCCTCTTTTGGTGACCTTCGTTTTTGGCAAAACACGCTCTGGCTAAAACCCAGAGAGGTATGGACCCTATGCTCCTTTTAGAACCCAATGTCATCTACAGAGCACAGGATCACCCAGGCAGGAAAATAAGTGAATTTTTTGTTATAAAAATTCGGCGACCAAACCTTAGCTATACAGGGCTTGTCACGGCCGATTATAGGAACGTGATACGTGTCTTGATGTATGATGCGTTCTAGCTTAAAATCGTTTACGTGTATAAGTGATGTCTGACGCGTGGTGCGTGATGCCAGCTTAACTGAAATCGTTTGCATATATAACAAATGTTTAATGTGTGAAAAGTGTCTGGTTGAACTCGTTGGCATGTTTGAATTAAACGTGATTCGTGATGCCTGTTTACTTGAATTCGTCTGCTTGTTCATTTCTTTTTCACCTCTTCTAGTTGGTAATTAAATATGCACTGTATCGTATTCATTGCTGGTAAATGTCCCTTGCTTTGATCCCCTGAATGTTGGTGACCTGTAAAAACTGTGGCTCGCTGTTTCAAGAGCATGCCCTGAAAATCGAGTAGGATCATCAAGGGACAGTTCTGAATTTACTCCAACTGTTCGTTTCGATAGAGGCATGTTGGCAATATATCAACGCAACCTACATCTTTATTCTCCTGTTTTTTTTCTTTTTACACTATAACTGCTGTCTTTTCTGTGACCATAATGCTCCTCACAAACGCGCTTCCGTAATTGCAAATGTTCGTCCTTTTTTCACTCAGCGTTTCTTCAACTACTGCCACCTCGGTTGCGGATGCTCAAGTGGAAATAATGGATCTACGTGGCTGATGTAAATGTCAACATGTAAATGTCATCGCTGGTGAGTTAGGCACCGACATATTGTCGGCACATTGCGTCAACGATACAACAAGCCCCATGCACAGCTGATACAACATGCACCACCCAACATCTTTGGAAGAAAGTTCGCGCCACTCTAAAATCCTTGGTTTGCATATGTAAAATGCCTTGCAGTATGTAAGACACATGTACTTCTCCATCGCTCAGTACAGCATTCAAATTAGGCTGATCATGCCTTAAATCCTTAAACGGACGTTAACATCGATTGCTACAGTTTTTAAGGATATGCAAAGAACAAACTTATTGCACTCATCAAATGATGAGCGCCCGTATGTGGCCGGAAGTATGCTGAAAAGCTGCTGTGCGTCAGCTTAATGAATCAAGACTCCATCCGTCGCTTAGATTTGGAATGAATCATCTTAATACTACTTGGACACCATGCAACTCACTCCACTCTCCCATAGCTAAGGCACCCCACCCCATTTTGAGCATAAGTATATTTGTAAAAGGCTTTTACTATTTTGTGCATAGGCACACGTATTATGTGCAAACGAAGCGCTTCAGCTAGACAAAAAACACCCACACACATGCAATAGGCAGCACGTGCGGGTCATTGCACAGATCAGTATACATGTGCTCACAGTAGTAGCTGATCGAATCGGAGTCGACCTCCATGTCGGTGACGCCGGCGCGGTAGCCGATGGTGAAGGAGCGCTGCACCAGGTCGGTGATGTTGTCCACCTTCCTGGTCAGGTACACCTTGTGGTGGGCGACGACGCTACCCTCCTCCATGGCCAACACCTCGGAGGTGGCGTACCACGAGCCGAGCGAGCGGCGGAACACAAGGTCCAACTGTGGGCACAGCGGGCATGAGGAGTCCCACTGCTGACCAACACCTCGGAGGTGGCGTACCACGAGCCGAGAGAGCGACGGAACACACGGCCCAACTGTGGGCACAGCGGGCATGAGGGGTCCCACTGTGAAACAGGGAAAACAAGGCTCAGCGGCAGGTAGCACACGATCCAGCGGTGGTGGAACACGTAGCCAAACTGCCGGGAAACAACAGATCAGGAAAATACGCTGTCCAACCGCGGGAAGTATACTCGCAGGTGGTGCGGCGCATGTGCGTCTTGCGCTTTGTTTGTGTCCGCCTATCCCAGCTGGAGGGCATCTGTACGTTTCCGCCACTGTGTTTCACTTTGACGACGCCACAGGGGGAGTGCAAAGGCTGAGGATACCTTGAACCAGTAGTGTGCCCGGTTCACACCCTTCCACTCCCATGTCGGCGCCGGCGGCTGCAACGATCAGCTGACGGGAGACGGGACGCAGAGTGAGTTGGAATAGGCTGGGAGGGCGGCAGTCTCTGATTTGGCTGGCCCCTATAAGGCGCCAAATGACTTTCCTTCAGTTCACCTTTAATTATTTCCACCTATTCCACTGCATTACCACTCTCCATTAGTTTATCATTTTCTAAACCAGGTGTCAAAGACAATGTTGAAGCCCTACGTAACCTTTGCTGTCATTTACCACGAGTCAAAATCCATAATTAGTGGGCAGACCGGCAGTGCTTACATGTTCCCTGCATCAGCATTATGAAGGATATCTTCTCATCAAAGTTGGCATGCTGGGTACTTCCAAATGACAAGCGAGGAAAGGGTGACACATTTCTCGAAATGTTCGACGACTTAACATTGATCTGCCTGATCCTAAGCCAGCAAAATCGACCAGCCCGCTACCTGTTCCGTTCATCCTAAATGTGTTGATCCACGATAACAGAGTACTATTTGTTGGAGTTCTTCACCAGTCCATGTTGATGTCCCGCCCTTAGTGTTGGTCGAAAGAGACCCTACGGACTCCAGAAGTTACCTTGTATCATTTACCCACCTGGTTAGTTTTTAAACTTTTCAGAAGCTATAGCTAGGTAGCTATTTGGCTTTTTTACCATCCAAAAACCACACCGGAGATACGCTTCTGGTGTCGAAACACGCATAATGAATGATGCCAAGACCACCAAAAGTTTAAAGATTATACGACATGTACAGCGATTATACCACACGCCGGAGGCATATTTTCCAAAAAGTTTAGGAGCGGGGGAATGGTCGCATCGACCTCATCTATAAGGGCAAGGGGTATGGTTTTTCAACCCAGTGACATCCGGCCCGGTATGGCAAAGCGTACTCATAAAATCCGCGTTCAACCGTTTCCTTGCTGTTGCCCCTGTCACAACAAGGAAAATGACATAAATGCATGGAACATAATTGCCCGTTTTAATAGCTGTCACATTTGCTATTGAAGTTATGGAAACAGACCCACTGCTTCTTGCTTTGCTCGGTATTTTTGCTCTTGCTTTTTATTTGCTCGGTATATCGGTATTCAGACAAGCCTAAAGTGCCACCAGCATCAGCACAGGCATCCGCGACCCATGCTGTGGGTGTGTCACAGCGTTCGCCGGAAGCACCTCTTTCCCTCTGTAGACTGGTTGAAAGCTTATTCTACCTCTTTTAGTTCCCCGAACGTGGAGGCGGTGGAGTGAGAATTCTGGTTTGGCGTTGTTAGCTTTTTCTGTTGTTGTTACCACCATGCGCACGTGGATAACTTCCCGCACAGTCATTAGGCAAGCGCGGCGTCTACTGTCCCCATTGCGCTCAGAAACTGTGTCTGATGCCGTAAGTTGCACACGAATCTTTAGCATATGAAGTTTGATTACACATATGCTGGTGACATACAATCAATAAATTATCGAACGTACAAGTATTTCACGAACGAATATTTCTTTTTCACAGAAAATGTGTACGATCTTTTGCTACTTGTCAGCTCTCCGTTTTTGTTTTTGCTTTGGCCCCAGTAACTTGTAACTATCCTCAGGGCTCCCAAAAAGTAACGAAAGACGCAGCAATATATACGGTCACTGAAACTTATCGGTTTGAAAAAACTCACTAAAATACCGTCTTCGTCACCGAATAAATGTTAAATCATGTATTTTGCCCGTGTGCAACATTCACAGCCTCCTCCCGAAACAAGATTAAAGAGACCACGCAAACCCCGGTAGCATTAAATCCGTTCCCCAATTCCTTCCCAGGATATCGTCTCATTGGCCAACAAATAAAGCACCATGCCAGATTCTGGTTGCAAAGGGATGCCTTCCGATGAATATTATTCCAGGTGTGAAAACCACAGTGTTCAGTTGCATAATGAATAAAAATGAGGCGGCTTATGAATGATGGTGGTGATGATTATTCATGATGTTTGCAGTGCAAAGCGGGAGAGAATGTGTCAGTAATTTGCATGTATGCTAAGTGTTCGTGTCCTTTCTGTGATAAGCATTAATTTAGACATTTTCAAGTCTGTCTCGTCCATGCATGCGTAATCAGCATGATGTGCTAGATGTGCAAAGCATGCGACATGCAACAGACACCGTTTTTATTCGCGAGGGAAGACCGAAGGTAAACAGCTAAGTTTTGTCTCTCCGTTTCGTCATGTCAGCGCTACAGGTGCTGAGCTGTGCTTGTCAGTGGCGGATCCAGAGGGAGTAACGGGACCTTTGGGCCCTGAGCCCATGGGCTCTGAAGCCCAAAGGCCCTTGCCGGCCGAACATAAGCAGTTTTTTATGTTTCCCTGTTGGGGTAGTCTCGGTTGCTCAGAGACCCTTGACACTGGTCTCGGTTAACCTACCAACATAATCGCGATATGCTCATGAGCCCTCTGCGTTGGTCTAGAGCCCTCGCAATCTCCTGCTACTTTCGAAGGGGCCCTATGCTCTAATCGCGGGCCCTATGTGCTAGCCTGCTTGGGCACGCTCGATCGTCCGGTGGTCCTGCACTGTGGGTGTTGAGTATTTCCCACTTGAACGGAGGGCTCTACGCTTTTGTCGGTAGTCCCACTTATTAACCTGCTCGGGCACACTCGATCGTTTGGGCCCTCCACCTTTCGTCGCCATTGGGGCTTACCACGCACTCAGCTGCTGAGGCCTTATAGCATTGCCTGCCTCTTACCCTGGCGGAAAGACGGGCACCGCGGAAATAGAACGCCGTGCCTCTGGTCTCGCAGACCTGCAGCTTATCCATTACACTATCGATAACCCGACCGCGATATTGTGCCTTGTTTACTTTCTAGCTTGGAGGCGTGGAGGGCCCTTCGCTCTTGTCGCACGTCCCATATATTAAGCTGCTCGGGTCAGTGGCGGATCCAGAGGGGGTCCACGGGACACTCTCCCCCCTGGACCCCGAAACAGCCCATAGGCTCCGAAGGCGCCCATAACCGACTGAACAGACCCATTTTTCTAACACAAACCACAACATTGGACGCCGTTGGGCCTCTAGCCAACCAAAAACAGTGACGAACAAGAGTAAAGGGTCCACGAGCAGACAAAAATGATTATTCCCTGATTGAGAGCGTGGTGGTGGGGAGAAAAAGGGAGCTCTTAACGCTGTCCAGGCGCACTACGTTGTTGCCGGGGCCCTATATGTCCTCTTGCCGTGGCAATCTGATCACTAAGAGGCCTTTCACGTTGCCCTTGATCTCCTCGCTTTTGTTCGGTGGGGCAAATACAAAACGTTGATGTTGGGGCACTATCCTCCGCTGCTGTTGGGGCACTATCCTCCGCTACTGTTGGGGCACTATCCTCCGCTACTCTTGGCCACCGTACTCCGCTGCTGTTCGGGCACCATCTGCTAAAATACCGGAGCATCCTTGATCAACCTTGGGCCCCCCACGGGTTCTTTCCATTGGCCCGAAAGGCTCCATACTCTGTTACTGGAGCCACATCTGTTAACCTACCGGGACACTCACGATCGTTCAGGGGCCCACCACATTGGTCTTGGGTTATTCTCGATTGCTCTGAGGACCCTGCGCTGTTGACGGGAGCCTCTCTGTTTGCCAGCCGCGGCGCCCTCGGTCGCTGAGGTGTCGCTCCTATTGGTCTTGAGTTACTTTTTCACAGGACCTACACCGTTGACGGAGGCCGAAATGTGAATCTGCCGGAACACTCCTCACTGCCCCGAGGCCCTCCACACTGGTTGTGGACCCTTCCGATGAATTCACAAGAATCCTACCACTCTGCTACCAAAAGCCCCACATCTGCTTGTGAGCGCCAGGGCATTCCGCATACTCATAGGCTCATACATACATGTAAGAGCCTGGCTAAAATCCTTTATGTACATAAGTCTGAGATCTGCACAATCACGATCTCCCTTGGCGTTTTAGCCTTAGAGCAGCAGTTGGGTATGCAGCGATGAATTTTTACCTGCACGCACTTACAATCCTTTTGCATCATGTTCTTAGCACATTTTGAGCGCTACGATATTTTGTACCGCTGCAATACGGCCAAAGCAAAAACTGTATACGTCACCAGCCGACAGCTGATCGCATCAATTAGCCGGCTAGCCGTCGGAAACCGGCCAGCTGTAGATGTCCTTGGAAAATAACATTGTGTTTCATTTTGATGGTATTTAGCAGCCAACTTTAGTACATTTTGCAATACATTCTCCGAAATACCCAGCCTAGACATGACGATGATCAATCATGATTTAGAGAAAATGCACGCGCTCCACGTCCAGTTTTCTATGGCTGCGCACATACAGAAGTATTGCCGTGTAACAAATGGCGGAGTACAAAAGAAATGTACTGTACTTCGTTGCTGTAATATGCTGTGCTTCGTATTCCAGCTATGAAATCTTGATAAGAATATCACGATTTCTTGGCCGGAATACAAAAAATAGTCGTTTTTTAGGGGCCCAAACTCCCGGGGGCTTCACGGTATTGAATCCCACTTGACGAAATCCCACATCCTTCCCTGGTGTCAGTTATTTTGCTTTCGATATGCCAGTGCTCGCAGTGTATTGGGTACGTTTAAA